GTGATATAATGCAACGTGTTAAATACAATATTAGTGTGTAAATATACTCGAATAATGTGCTAAAAATATTATTGATACGATGTTATGGAGTCAATATTATTAAATGATACGATACAAATGTTATTAATGGTGTGCTACTCCCATGAAAGTCTAATGTTATCCGTTTGGTTCCTGGATAATTCTCTTCCAAATGAATTTAGGTGGTGTGTAATGATATAAGGAGCTACAAAAAGACCTTATTTTCCATTACCTAAATATAAAAACGTGTTTGTAACCTTACTTCTAGCATTTTTTTACGTGTTAGTGTGTATTCTCCAGTGCTAGATTAACCAATAGGTAAATAAGACAAATGTCTAGGGCCTGTAATTCGGAGAGGCCCGGCTATTTAAAGGCTGATTAATGACTAAGATTTCTTTACAGTTTATCATAAGTCGTTAAGAAATGTTTCTAGGCGTTTAAATTAGCATATTTCGCATTTACAGTAGCTACAAACTAGACATTTGACACGCTAAATTATAACTTTTTTAAGGACCTTAAAGGAGTTTAGAAGGTTATTATCGTTGTGTAGTCCTCATTTAATAACTTAATTCCTTAATAAAATAGTCCTATACAAATTTTAGACATCGTTTAAGTGCACTTTCGTGTGAAGATTAAGTGATCAATAACTGAAGTTAAGGACCACTAATAATGTAACATCCTCGTAGATATCTTTCAAATTTTAATAGTTTAAGGGGTTTTTATAGGTTTACACCTTTAAAAATTAAGCGTTTAGACCCCTATTTTAATGCAATATTCAACAATTTATCGTTAATAATCTTCGAGGCTATGCATGAAAAAAAAGGGTGTTACAGATACCAAAATAACTATACAGTAAGCTATTCTTAAGCTTATAGTTCTTAGAATTTCGCAAAATTCTCCACCCCCCTACTGTTCGAGAGGGGGGCCAAGTTGTTAGTTGGGTTTTTTTCATTAACGTGATATAAAATAGTAGGCATTGTAGTTGGTATATAATCCATGTAGAAAAATCAAGGCTCGAGGCGATCTTCACAGGAAGCCATTTGCATAGAAGGGAGGGAAAAAGTTTTCAAACCTGCTCGGGTCAACGGAGAACAAAACACTGTTTTTTTTTCCGATGGAGTACCTACTTAAAGGACCATTTATTGTCTGAATTCTTTTAGCCATAAAGGTACTGAAGGACCGTCCAGCCGTGCAGCATCCATTCATTCATGGATCCAGGAAGAACCTTATATATATAGTCTCCACCTACAGATTGCCCTCATCCGGCATTATTTTTAATGTGTCGGGATGCCGCTTCCTCCTAGCTTCCTGATTCGTTTAACAGTAAAACCGTTTATGGAGTTTTTACTTGCCAGTCCGTCCTCCAACATGCTCTAGTTGTCGACGAAATGATTCCATTGCAACCAAGATTCAACCCCGGATTGAATTTGTCTTTCAATTCTTATTTAGTGAGCTTCTATGACTTCTTTGACGCTTTGGCCCCCATAAATGATCGCTGGTTGAGTGATATTTATTAAGTCAATCAACGTCAAAGTTGAAAGGTTGTAAAGTGAAGGCGGTTTTACTATTTTTAGTAGTGCCTCAGTTATTGGTTCCTCCTCATCCCAATCTACTTCTTGGTGATAAATGATATTGAATTATCCTTTTATCTCTCGATTTGATTATCTTTTAATCCTTACTAATTGAATGTCCGCAGAAGAGAAGCGCTTGAATATTTTATAAGGGGTATAATTATGCTGCACCTTTAAAAATCGTTCGTCACTTGATGAATTAAACCGCATTCGAAGAAAACTGGATAAAGTCCTAAGCCTTTAGGATTAATCAATTACATTTAAGGCTTTTAGGCTTTAGTTTTACTCAGATTCAATCATTTCCGAGAAGAGAATCCTGTTTTTTTTTTCATGTGTAAAGGTGTTCTGACTCGTTTTTTTCACGTTATCTCGCTAATTACTCTTTGTTTTTGAGATATTTTGGTTAATTATAAGCTTTGATTAAAAATTTAAGGCTCAATTAAGGCATTAAGGCTTAAACTAAGTTGTTTTAGAACATGTAAAATGTATTTTTGACTTTAAAAAATGATAATCTATCTTTTATTCCGGATGAAGTAATGGATAATTTTTTGCCTTTATTAGCCTGAAAAACGATTAATTACATTTAAAAAAGGCTCGGATTCCTAATTACATCTTTTAATGTACGTTTAAGGCGTTAATTAAGTTTTACCAAGCCTTTTTATTATACTGTACAGTACATATTAACTTATTTCTACGGATTTTTAGCGAGAAGAAATAATTGCTTTTTTAAAAATTACTACTAAATTAAGCCTGTAGGATATTAAATTAAGGCTTTACTTTTCAGTTGTGTTAAAATTCGCATCGCTTTAACACTTAATAACGCTACAAATACTCGTTTTTTCTAATGTAAATACCTTTACATTGTAGTGTGTAGATGTTATCTAAGCCTTAATAGGCCTTATTTAATGAGTTTTGCCTACGTTTTAATCGAAGTATTTAACTTAAGGCTAAGGCTAATGTTTAGCAGAAAGGCTAAATAACTTATTTTCATTCTTAAAGGAAACTTTTTGGGTGTATTTTTCTATTTTTAAAGTGAACATTTTTGGAAACATTCTCCAACTTTTTTAGACTTCTCGAGATGGGGGATGGAGACGATTGCGTGAATATAAATGTGTAGAGGAACAAAGGCGAACAGGAAGACGCGATTACGTAGTCGTAAATTCGTTTATCATCGACCTTGACAATCATTAAGCGTCGTGGGTGTCACAACATAGGAAAGAACACCTCATTGTTGTCACACGATCTCCAGATGACGTGAGAGACCTCCTCCTCCACCTCTACAGGAAACAACCCTTCCCCCTTTCCTTAAAAATTATGCACAGAGGAAAGAACACACAACAATATACGATACTAAAAGAAAGTTAGGCCCTTAATGTAGTGTACTGCGTGATAGATACCTCCCTATTGTGGGGGTATCGCATGAAACACGCACTCCCTACATGCTTAAATATTGAAGAATGCTACCATGACACACAATATATGATATTAAGGGTAAGTCACGCTCATAGTGTATAGTTATATTGTGGGAAAGCCACATCTCTAGTATGAGGAATTATGGAAAATTTGTCAGGGTTGAAGGGGCTATTTTAAAGCCCTCAATAGGATTTTAAGGGAAAGATACATAACTACTGTGTAGTATTGTGGGAAAGGTACACCTCCCAGCTTAAAATATAGCTTAAAAATACAGTCTAGAATGAGAAATTAAGAAAAATACACCAGATTTAGAAGAGAGTTATTACCACTCTTATACAAAGGAGTAGTTAATTTTGGAGTTAAAAATTATCACTGCAACACCAGAAAAAAAAAATGGGCATTTTAGATAGGAAAAAAAAGAGTGCAGATTAAATCCCCCCAAACAAAAATGGAAGAGAAAGAAAGAGGAGGGGTGGAGAGAGGAAGACAAGAAATCTCTGCACCTTTCTGGATTTCGACTCCAATCTTCGAGATCACTTGGGAGCAAAAGGGAAACGGTGGAGAGATCACGAGCGTTACTATGACAACGATTGGAAGAGACAGTGGGAGGATTTTTTTCCAAGTCCGAAGTTGATTTCTTCTCCTTTTAAATTTCAAATGGCGATCCCTGATGGGCAGCGAAAACAAACGGGACGATACAAGATGACAATACTCGTGACATGCAGCGGACATGATGGACTTGATCGATATCGAGAATAGTAGGAGTGCAGGGGTCAGCAACCTTTTACTCTCGATGTCTGATAGTTGCTACCTGTCCCGTTTACACTCTACAAACATTTATAACTAATTATTAAAGGCGGGGTTCGATTACCTTTGCTATAAATGACGTTTAGAAATGCTTACGTTGCTCTTATAACTGTCGTGGGTTCGTACCTTAAAATAATATGCCCCGGTTTTTCTTCCCAAGTATGGTGACCTTCTCTATAACACCTCATGATGCTCTACAGGATTATTACACACGCGAACTATCTCTCTGTCACGGGTTCTTACCTTAAATATGTCTCTCCAAATCACTTTTAAACCATATTAGTATTATTCAATACAATTAATTGGGGTATTCAATAATTTGGACGTTTAAAAATAAGGATTTTTGAAGAAGATAATTAATAATATAACACGAAATTTTGTTATTAATTAACCTTTGTTACTTAACTACTTCTTTTCTAGACGAGTCAATTAAAAATGTAAAAGGTTATAATTAAATGGTTTCGAGATATTCCACTCCTCTACGCTTGAACTGTAATGTTCCAATGGTTGCCCATAGGCTGTGCCTATTTTCTAGTCATTACACTTAATGCTGGACCTATTAAAGTATCATGAATTGTTTCAAGCGCTTCATTTTTCATTCATGTGATACGGATGCCCCTACTTTACCAATTCTTTTTTTTTCCTCTGTATATCGGCTCTAATAGAAAACCCACTCCACCCAAAACACAAAGAAGTTAAACCCCGCACTTTTGTAATTGCTAGAGGCTAAATATATATATATATATATATTTGGGTCCTAACACACCCAGGACGACAAAAAAGTAAAGTTTTCTATACGAAATGCCCTCTAGAATTTTGCGGAAATCGCCTTCTAGAGTTACCAAATTTGTAGGACAACCGTTGGAAAAAAGTGCCTTCTAATATATGTCACACATGTAATGAATGTCAGGGTGATCAAGTCTACATTTATAAACTTTTTATAACCTTCTACGCCAAACCAGTCAGTAATAGGACCTGTCCTTTAGGTTTTCTTCATTAAAAGAACCTTTCCGCTGATAGAAGAGATAAGCCCTCGAGGGTGTTCCTCGCCCTCGTATGCTGTTTATCGTTCAGAAAATTCTCTCCCCCTCCCTCAAATATACAGGATGTAGGCATTAGTTAAACCCAGTTTAGATTTTTCTTTATTTTCCCTTACTAATGTCCTTTTTTTTTTTCTTTGGTTCCTTTCAGAGAACAACGAGAATGGGATGCCACGACGTCTTCGAACTGCTTACACAAACACACAGTTGTTGGAACTGGAGAAGGAGTTTCATTTTAATAAATATCTGTGCAGACCCCGGAGGATAGAAATTGCAGCATCTCTGGATCTAACAGAGAGACAAGTGAAGGTGTGGTTCCAGAATCGTAGAATGAAACACAAGAGGCAAACTATGATGAACAAAAATGACGATAAGAATGGGGATGCGGGAAGTGATACCAAAGACTCGGATTCGGATCGTGGCCCGCCCCCACCTTCTAGAACGCCCGACGGGGACCAGAGTAGCAACAGCGGGACCAAAGAATGTACCTCGACTGGTACAACGCCTCAAGAAAGCACAGCGACTCCGGAAACGTGTTGCAGGCCCTCGAGTCCCAAAACAGAAATTCTAAAAGAAGTAGAGGCAGAGGAGCATCTGCAGTCACCCGTGACGGTGAGCTCTACACCGGTTCATTCTTCATCCCCCTGTAGTCAAGGTGACAGAAGAGGAACGCCGCAAGACATTCAGGATGTAACTGCTAATGCAACTGTGGCTCATACTGTTATATGCGAACCACCTGTAACTACTACAGCGGCAATTAGGAACATATGCCCTGTGACGGCGCCAGATAAAGTAATGAGGGTTTGCACCATGGAGGGCACGAGCACTCATTGTCATCAGCCGTGTAACACATTATCTCGCACACCACCTGGTGGACAGGCAACTAGCCCGGGCAACGGATATTCTTCACAGATGACCCAATCTCCCAATTGCCAGAGATCCAGACTGTATCCCTCTTACACGGATCCGGCCATCACCTCAACGAATTACACACAGAGAGGTCCTTCACCTTCTATGTCCAGTTATTGTTACAGAACGTCACCTCCTGCATCTCACCAGACTTTACATCCTCCCCAACAAATGGACAACGGTTACACGTTCCACGGGAGCTACAAAGTTACACCACCTCCTGTTTATTATCCAAACTCCGGTAGAGTGCCTCAACAATCTCCTAATGGGTGTGTGCAATCACCACCCATGTATACAGTGCAACCGACAGCCATACAGAACCACCGCGGACAGCCTAACAATAATAACAGTATCATACAGAACAATCCAATCCAACAAACCAGCCAACAGCAAAGGGTACCCATGCACCAAACCAGGCAGTACTACCCTGTGGAGCAAATGAGCAACCAAACCTTATCTCCCTCCCCTCATCCATATCTACAAGACTATAGGGGACAAACACCCGAATATAATTCTCGCAATTATGCAAATTACGAGGCGTTACCTACCGAAGATCACTACAACAATATGGCACCGGCAGGTAACGGCGAATTCTGTTACGCTTCTTACAGAAACGACTATACTGGGGAGGACATGATGCCATCGGGTCAAAACATGTATTACGACATGAATCAAGGTTCCGGCAACCGAATACCAGATTATAGTGCCACTGCACCCAAACAGACACTCCAGACGTCTAACTATTACGAGATGAATAACGTGGCGGATACAGCCGCCATGTCCAACTATACCAATCCTAACATGGCGTCGGAACAGTACAGTGGGCAGTGCACAGACTCGGGTGATCTGAGTTATAATTATAACAATTATTACGACAACGGAACTTATAACAATAACACAAACAATAACATGCAAAATGCAAGTGGTACGAACGACTTTAACTTCTTGAACATCGCCAACGACTATTCAGCACCCGAGTATTATCAATTGAGTTGATTTTTGACATGAGGAACATTATATAAAACTTTCGTGACGACCGCTATCGTAACAAAAAAAAAAAAAAAATTTATGAATGGATGTTTAGGAACTTCTGTGTAATTTAGATCCAGATGTGATCGAGTTTAGAACTAGATCGGCCTATGTCTACGAACCTCACCAGTAGAATCTCGGATCAAAGTTATCTGATTGATCAAGCTTTATTTTAATACCTTTTCATTTCTCTCAGTTGTACCTTGACCAATTGGAGAATTTTGAACCATTACGGATGCCTAGTTCTGACGTGCAACCACATGTTTTACCAGAAAGATGATGGTGATATTTTTGTGCGCCCCATATTGTCACAAGGCCGTAGGCCACCCCTAACTTTAGTTATTCTATATCCATTTTTGGTCCTCTACAACCGCTTAATGATCTTCTAGTTATTGTGATCCCAACAATTTAAGTTCCAAAAATTGATTATTAAATGTGCTGCAATCTCATTATTAAAGTTTTTAATACCATAAAAGTTCCTCAAACCCATAAAATGCACTAGGATCAGGTTAAGAGTTTTTTCTGTGCTTCAAAAAAGTAGTTCTAATCAATCGCATTATTCCGAATTTTAAATTTAATGATTTTTAAAATGTAACAGAAGACTTTTTGCCGGTCTAGGCCTTATTTAAAACTTAAAATTGTATAAAGGTCAGTTCTAAAACTTCAGTTTCATGTATGACCCTTTCTGGTTACATACGCTACTCATTGAATACTTTATAAACGTTAGAAAAATTTCAACTAATTGAGCTAATTTGTATCATTTCCAGTTTAAAAAGTTGCTTTTTTTGTAGTTGTTAGCTATATTTTCTTGCTAAATTGTATCAAATAACGAAATACATTACGCTGTGCCAGCGCTTTCTTAATCTGAGCCACTGGTTCCGCACCTGTTGTTCTTGATACGGCCATTATTGGTCTAACTGTGTAACGAAACTAGCGCCGCCTGATAATTTTTTTTCTATTTTTCTTAATTTAAAAAAACAACGATATTATTGTTAATTTTTGTATTTTATCACGCGGAAATGAAATTAATTCCAATTGTTTTTTTTTTTCCCTGGAATTTTGCGATAGATGAACTGCATTATCAGCAATATTGTTACGTTATTGTGACTATATATATAAATAAATGAAAGATAAATAAATTAATTATATATAAAAAAAATTATATATATATATAAGCATATAAGCAATCAATAAACAGTTGGCGCGTCACAAACGTAAGCAAGGCAATAAATTTACCTTGGTTCAAATATTCCCTCTTGTTCGGGATCTGTGTACAGATTAGATAGAACTGTGATCTTGTATATACCGTACGTCTCTGTGCAATTTAAATTCCTGTACATCTTCATCTGTACACGCTCTGTACTCTGTAACCTTTCCGGATGGCCCGAAATTTTATTTTCAATTTCTTTTTTTTTCTTTTCTTCCATAATTTAATGTTAACGAGGCCTATTATAAATTTGCTAGATTTTAGTGTTTGTAAAGATAAGAAGCCTCATCGATACCCACACCTTTTATACGTAAATGGGTACAGGACCTGTATAGTACCTCATAGTTCGGCACATAATTGTATATAGGCCAACTGTATACAAATGATGTGTTATAACTCACTTGTGGTGTAGTTTTAATTGTATCATCTCTTCTGCATACCTTTCCCGAATCTCTTCTCCACGTTCGGATTTCCTCTTCACTGCCACAAGCTGAACAAAATAAAAGTATAAGTATATATATATATATGTATGTATGTACTGTACTGTACGTATTTAATTTTAGCTTTTTAATTTCGTGTTTCTGTACTATTAAAAAAAATCGTCTATAGTTATAGAGCAATAATTAGCATCAAAGGGGAACTCGTAGAAATGTTGGGAGAAGAGATTCTGGGTGAAGAAGGCTCGTCTTGTGTTTTTCGATTCTGTGTCTATAGCTGCAGCCTCTTAATAGGCCTCACAGGCTGTAAATGTGTTTCTGGGCCTGCCGTTTGGCGGCAGTAGCTGTTTTTTCAGTAAAGATGTCCTTTGGACTTTAACGAAATGTGGACTCGTGTTTTGCTTCTTTCAACCTCCATCATAACAAATTCTTAATGGCTATACTAACAAAGCAACGATAAAGTTTATCAGGAGCTCATCCAACTCTTATTTTTTCTAATTTGTGTTACCTTTCATGACATGCTCTGAATCTCTCATTTAATCAATAACACCAATTCATTTTTTGCAACGTTCCTCAACATTTCCTCAAGAATTCCCTCAAAATTCTTCAAACTAATCTCAACCACGTTAAAAAAGAAAGAAAAACCATTGTTTTAAAATCAATGAGGTTATACATCTGCCATTTTTTTTTTTGTTTTCAGAATATAAAGTAACATCTTGAAGACTTTTTACAGGGCCCTTATCAAAGATGTAAATTGTTTCATTACGATATCGATAATGTCTACCTTTTATCGTTGAGAAGAAGAAGAAGAGTAAACCGGTTACTACTTTTACCATCTAAAACCAGTAAGACATAAAACAAGAAGCTTATCAGCATTTTCCGTCTTGTGCATTCAGAAATCGAGGCCCTATAATGGTTTTTCTCATCTGCGACTAACCACTCTGCTTTCAATCTGTTACGCTTGGTTACGTTGTCTGATCCAGATTTTTCCTTTTAGTCCGATTGCCCAATCATCGGATCCCCTTCGTTTTCACCAAATCTCCTTTTTTTTTTACTTCCTCCTTTCCTCCTCCTTTTCCTTTTCCTCCTCTTTTCTTTTATTTCTTCCTACAGAATCGTTTCTAATATTAAAATCCTTTCCACATTTTAGTTTTCTGATTGCTTGAATGTTTATCGGGCGTATCGCCAACAAGATGCATTCAATTTCTTTTCTTTTTACTTATAAAATATCAAAAAGCCAAAAAAATTGATTTAGTAAAATTCCAAAGTGAAGGGAGAGAGAAAAAAAAACAAAATGGCGGATTAAAAATAAATTTAAATTTAAAATCATCGCATCGGTCGAAATTAACCAATCGCAGGGTGTCGCTCGATTTTTGAAATGCACGCGTTACTTTTTTTTGTTTTTAAATTCAAATTAACCAATCGGAGAGAAATTTCGTTTAAAATTTCTTACGTCATCGAAATTAACCAATCGAAGAGAAATTAAATTTAAAATTTCTTACGTCATCGAAATTAACCAATCGAAGAGAAATTTCATTTAAAATTTCTTACGTCATCCAAAATAACCAATCGAAGAGAAATTAAATTTAAAATTTCTTACGTCATCGAAATTAACCAATCGAAGACAAATTAAATTTTAAAAAAAAATAAAAAAAAAGTGAAAGACGAGAAAGGTTAAAATCTCTTACGTCATCAAAATTAACCAATCGAGACACGATTCGATTTAAAACTGAAACGTCATCAAAATCATCCAATGGAGAGACGTCTACGTATAAAAAAAAATAAATAAAAGTACTTGCGTCATCGAAATTAACCAATTGAGAAGCGAGTATACTTTAAATTTGATTATTTTATTTATTTATTTATTTATGTTACTCACGTGATCGAAATTAACCAATTGAAGAATTTTTTTTTTTTTTTATAATGGTAAATCATTCCATTCACACGTCTCGAATTTTCAACCGTTATCACGATTAAGGTTTCGAGTTTGAATATCGCTTACTATAATGCGCTTATCGTGATGAAATACCACAATTTACGTCACACTCGATATCATCTTCCTTACTTTATTTATAGAATCAAAAACCGGATGATAGCGAATGGGTTAAAGTATCATATGTACTAAAAACGACGGTAGATGGAGCGACGATCATTTAACACAGTAACCGAATTTTTTTTTTTTTATTTTTCTTTTTTTAAAATTATAATTAAAATGATAAAATTTTTATTATAAAAATAATTAAAGTTCTTAAGATTACAAAGTTTACAGTTGAAATTTTGCTGTCTTTTTTTTGTTTAATTTCACAAAATTAGTACAATTAACATTCACACACCACTAATGATGTCGACAGTGAAGTTATGCATATTTAAGCGTTTCGAAGATTGTATTCTTTTTGAATTTAGTTTTACGGTTTGACGATTTTTGAATTAACTTCGTTTACTGTAATTTTTCGGATTTTTACGATTTTTGGACAACGGTTTACTTATTTTTGCGGATTTTACGCTTGCAATATATATAAGCATATAAGCAATCAATAAACAGTTGGCGCGTCACAAACGTAAGCAAGGCAATAAATTTACCTTGGTTCAAATATTCCCTCTTGTTCGGGATCTGTGTACAGATTAGATAGAACTGTGATCTTGTATATACCGTACGTCTCTGTGCAATTTAAATTCCTGTACATCTTCATCTGTACACGCTCTGTACTCTGTAACCTTTCCGGATGGCCCGAAATTTTATTTTCAATTTCTTTTTTTTTCTTTTCTTCCATAATTTAATGTTAACGAGGCCTATTATAAATTTGCTAGATTTTAGTGTTTGTAAAGATAAGAAGCCTCATCGATACCCACACCTTTTATACGTAAATGGGTACAGGACCTGTATAGTACCTCATAGTTCGGCACATAATTGTATATAGGCCAACTGTATACAAATGATGTGTTATAACTCACTTGTGGTGTAGTTTTAATTGTATCATCTCTTCTGCATACCTTTCCCGAATCTCTTCTCCACGTTCGGATTTCCTCTTCACTGCCACAAGCTGAACAAAATAAAAGTATATATATATATATGTATGTATGTACTGTACTGTACGTTTTTAATTTTAGCTTTTTAATTTCGTGTTTCTGTACTATTAAAAAAAATCGTCTATAGTTATAGAGCAATAATTAGCATCAAAGGGGAACTCGTAGAAATGTTGGGAGAAGAGATTCTGGGTGAAGAAGGCTCGTCTTGTGTTTTTCGATTCTGTGTCTATAGCTGCAGCCTCTTAATAGGCCTCACAGGCTGTAAATGTGTTTCTGGGCCTGCCGTTTGGCGGCAGTAGCTGTTTTTTCAGTAAAGATGTCCTTTGGACTTTAACGAAATGTGGACTCGTGTTTTGCTTCTTTCA